ACGTCTTTCGTACGTCCTGAGTAGACAACTTGGTTGGCGTACTCCAGGAGCGGTCTGACGTAGGCCCCATAGAGTATTTGGAAGACCATGCGAGTAATACGGGAGAAGGTGCGTCGGATCATCCGTAAAATGGTTTCCGAAGAGTTTTCATCAAACTTGTGATTATTTTCTTTTATGAAAGCTTTATTTTCATTGCTAGCTTGTTCTATATTTCTTGTACTTTATTAGCCACCTTTCCGGCTTGACTCACAAATGGCACGCTCCGAACAGGTTGGACCAATACTGGTTCGGTATTTCCACCATATGTCCATTTTTCGTTCGCGTCTTCCAAAAATGGAGAATGTTTTAGTGCGCAGCATACTGCATACAGACAGTGGCATACGCTGGGATCTTGTGGTTTATTACGAATGGGTGCTCACGACTCCCGAACGGTCATGTTGTATTCATCGCCAACTCATAGAGTTGCGCTATCTAGCAAGGACATTGAATTGAATGAATATCAGGTGCTCCACAACTGTCCCGTAAAGGATGGTCATGCGGGCCCTCAGTGACAACTTGGTATTTTATAACATCCCTCACACAAAACCAAAAAATATAACGTGGCGTATACGAAAAACCACACAGGTCATGTAAGACTGAGGATCTAGGTTATATGTGACTAAAAGCCTAATACCATGATCCTATCCCGATATTTTCACGGAAATAACGTAGTAGCCTACCCGATGGCATACAGTGTACCTTTTGCGAGGCAATGCATGACTGACAGACAAATCAAGAAGGCGTTCGCCTCCAAAGAAGTGTGCAGCCTGACCTAATCTTCGAACGTTTCGTTAACAGATAGGCTACAATACCGATTCGTACGGTCTACGACGTTGACATTCACGGTGATATGGAATTACCACCAGCGATGTTATTGCTAGGCAAAACATGTAAGCGGCCTCATTGGAGCCGGTCGGAGCAAGAGCTGAGCGACATATCAAATGATAAGGAGGCTGGCTGAGAACAGAATGCTTACCAGACGAAATACACCCAACGTGATCGGGCTACGACACAAACTGCCTTTTTGACGAGAGCAATCGACCTACTTACTGGCCACCCCGGAACTAACCTATTAAGCCATAGTTGTTGACTACGCCCCAGAAATTACATAAACCCCAGGAAAAGTGAAAGGCCGGCCAAATGAACTACGCACTGGTGATATCCACTCACAGGACGGTTGCCAACACTTTTACCCAACACGAGGCGAGAAATGATTCACCCATGGCTACCTGTCCATTCGCTGTCAAACTTTCGAAAAACGCACCTGCGTAACAATAATCGTTAAACAAGCAACGAAATGCCACCAACATAGTAGACCTTTGTTCAATGGGAAGTGAAAAAGATCCCGCATCAAGGGCAAAAAAATCGTTGTTCGAAAAGCTGGGATACCAGACCCTCCATAGCCTGACCCCGTACTTGGTTCACTTAATTACGAACTAAGTCTATGGAATGCTCATTCGAACCGTATAGACTAACCTCTGGAGATGCGTATGACATACACTATCTGGGAAGGTACTAAGACCATAAAAGAAAAGCTGCGGTGACGCCAAGTGCACATTTTAACCCTTGTACTGATTCCCATCGCCTTTAAGCAAAGTGGTGACCAACCCACCACAGTCACCCTTAACTCACATGTGTTCCTCACCATTCGCACCCTTTATTTGACTATCCTGGCTTTCAGCCCCTACCACAAGACTTGGTACCGCTAACCCTGCTAAGACCTACCAAAACACGTGATTAAACCCCATTTCCATGCATTCGTCTTTCACGTGCGCATCCCAAATCCTTGCCCAGAAGGAATAAACCACTCATATGAGCCCGTAAGGCTTATGTGGCTTACTCGTGTGTTGACATATTGGGACATACCTCTGAATGACTAGAACGACCCAGATCATGGATGCCTGAGCGAGAGCCCCTATCCCGTGTAGTAAATGGTAGCGTGTGTCCGCTTCTCTGCCTCTCGGTGTGAGCTACCGTAGCCCCTCGAGTCCTCCTGATGATGACAAAGTCCTCATGCCAACCTTGAGCAACTCTCCTTTAGCTACCACTCCACTCATCTCCAGATGGTAAGTGACTTCAAATCTTCAAAGGAGCTGCAGCGCGTCCGATTAAGTGGACTTTTTGCAGCGGCGCTGTTTGAAGTCGTTCAACAGGGGTTTGAACTCTAGCGTGTGTCCGCTTCTCTGCCTCTCGGTGTGAGCTACCGTAGCCCCTCGAGTCCTCCTGATGATGACAAAGTCCTCATGCCAACCTTGAGCAACTCTCCTTTAGCTACCACTCCACTCATCTCCAGATGGTAAGTGACTTCAAATCTTCAAAGGAGCTGCAGCGCGTCCGATTAAGTGGACTTTTTGCAGCGGCGCTGTTTGAAGTCGTTCAACAGGGCGTTTGAACTCAGCATGTGGATGCACCACACAGGCCAAATACCATCCCTCCTGGATTTGGTCATCAATAACGAAAAACACTTCGTTGCTCAGGTGAAAAATAGCGCTACACTGGGACATAGTGACCACCACGTGCTGACCTTTGCTTTTATCTCCTATTGTGCCAAAAATCCCGAATTTCAGACGTAGATTCGAAACTTCTGCCGTGCATAATTTTCAGGATTATGTACCTTTCTTGAACAAGTTGAAATGACACCAGCTTGAGTAAAAGACTTATATCAGATCATTTTCCAAAAGGTTCACGAAGCTGACACGATGTTCGCCCCACCCCAAAAAAACCAGCACGCAGTCGGATGAGCCGCAGGCTACCTAGAAAGATTCGGCGTCGTCTGGAAAAGAGGTCCCAACTTTTTCAAAAACTTGGCTACAGGGAACACAGAAGATGAACTGGGATTTCGTAAAATGCGGAACCACTGTATTTAAAAAAAATCCGCCAAAGAGACATACAAAAACAGCCCACCATTCTGGACCTCATTCAAAAAACAGAAATGAGTCGTACGTTTATGAGACATCCCAGCAGAAACAAGCCATCCGCGTTCTCCCTGAGGGACAAGAATGGAGAAGCCGCGAGTGACCCAACAGTGGTATCTGAGGCCTTCAGCGAACACTATGTAGGCCTACCTTGAACCCTAGCGCCCTGATCACATCCACTCTTGTCAATGCATAAATACGAATGACCTATAACTGACTTTGTCTTCACGGTGGACATTCGTCAATTCTTGCACAAGATCAAACCATTCTGCGCTTGCCCGATGAGTTTCGTAAAATGCGGAACCACTGTATTTAAAAAAATCCGCCAAAGAGACATACAAAAACAGCCCACCATTCTGGACCTCATTCAAAAAACAGAAATGAGTTGTACGTTTATGAGACATCCCAGCAGAAACAAGCCATCCGCGTTCTCCCTGAGGGACAAGAATGGAGAAGCCGCGAGTGACCCAACAGTGGTATCTGAGGCCTTCAGCGAACACTATGTAGGCCTACCTTGAACCCTAGCGCCCTGATCACATCCACTCTTGTCAATGCATAAATACGAATGACCTATAACTGACTTTGTCTTCACGGTGGACATTCGTCAATTCTTGCACAAGATCAAACCATTCTGCGCTTTGGGGCCCGATGAGATCCGTCCAAGGATCATGAAGAAAACGTTGTCTACACTGGCATATCATTTATACCTGCTGTTTCGTCATTTGCTCGACGAAAAACGCCTTTTCTTTGCTTGAAAAGAAGCGATTGTCACGCCAATCCACGGAACTGGTGACTGACTATCGCCCGGGAGCTACAGGCCTATATTCATCATTAGCATCCCGTGCAAGGTGATGGAACACATTCTGAAATGAGTGACTCTGAACCACCTTAACTCCAACAATTTGACATCTCCAGCTCAACACGGATTTCTCCCAAGCAGTTCTTGCCTGAAGAGCACGCTCGTGTTTATGAACAGCTTAATCCAAGCCAGGACGAGGGACTCATATCGGCTGCCATATTTTTCGGCTTCTCAATAACATTGGGTCGGGTTCCCGGCGTCGCGCTGATAAACAAATTCGAGTCTTACGGGATTCAAGAAAAAATCTTACACCGGATCAGTACGCTCCTATCAGACAGGTAATTTCGAGAGAAGGTAGATTCTACCTACTCTTCTCCAGTGCCAGTCTCCTTTGGCAATCCTCAGGGCTCCGTTTGGGGAATCCCACTGTTTCTGATCTATGTCAACGACCTTCCAGATTTTCTTGCAGGTCTATGTCTTCTTTTTGCGGACGACTTCAAGTCCCGAAGTTCTAGTGCCAGCGCTTCCGAAACCGATGTAAACTCGGCCAAGCAGTGGTCGTTGGACTGGCACCTTCCTCTGAATGGCGAAATGCGCGTCCATATGTCATTTGGAGGAGACTCAGCGAATGCCTTTGTTATGCATGGTGAGAAAGGACCAGAAGACATCATGAGGATATACACCAAAAAGACTGGTAGTATTTGGGTCTCCACAAACTTGCCCTTATTTCTTACTCCTTCTTACTTCTCACTGCACCTTGAGAAATCGGCCCAAAATTCATTCGCCAATTTTCGGATGATTTGGCTCACCCTCTCCCGTATTACTCTGATGCACTACCAAATACTCTACGGCGCTATATCAGACCGATGCTTGATTACACCAATCAAGTTATTTACTTAAGACGCACGAAAGACGTCACTATCATTGAGCGGGTCTACAAAAAATGGCTGCTTGCCTCAAATCAGTGTAATTCGCACCGCGTCTCACGATGCTTGACCTCTTTCTCCTGGAGTATGGTCGCCTCCGGGGTGACCTAGTTCTTACTTATGCCCTGTTTGAACAAAGCTTGGCCAACAGATTCTTCACCATTGAACCAACAAACACGGCGGGGACATGGTAAGAAAATTTTCAAGCACAGAGCGCACACATGTATTAGGCAAAATTTTTCCCATTACGGGTAGTAGCTGCGTGGAATAACTTTCTTATGACGCTTGTCCACGCTCCTTCTAGAACTCAGGCCAAAGCACTATTAAACATCCATTTATGCGAATCCTCGCGCTGGCAAGCATTCTGCCCTGTGCTGAGAACTTAAAGAGCAATTCTACACGCTTTTTCACTTGTGCCCCTCGGGTAAACGACAGGCGGTGAACGGCAAAAGAAAACCGATACGGGAAACATGGGCGAAATCCTCGATCCTGTGTATCAATCCATGAATCCGTGTGTGTCAGCTTTTACCGGCTGACCTAACGAACACACAACGGGGACGTGCCAAGATAATTGTCAAGCTCAGAAGGCATACATCTATTAGACAACGTTTCGGGTAGTTGGTAAGTGGAATAACCTCCTTCCGACGGTCGCTCACGCTCCATGTGGTATCCAGTTCAAGGCACTTTTACACTGTGCAGCAATCCGTGAGTCCGTGAATCCGTGATACACGTTTTCTCAGTTGAGCGCTCGCACTGGCAAGGTTACGCTCCCGAGGTTAATGAACTTAATGAGTAGCGCTACACCTTTTTCAGCGTGCCTTTCAGTTGGACGGATGCAGAGGGGTGACAAGGACAAAGCCGTCTCGGAAAACCCCGATCCCCTGAATCAATCCGTAAATCCCCGAAAATGAGGCTTTTTAGCTGACCTACTAAAACTTCGGCGCTTTCTTTAAAATTCCGGCATGCTTCGCTTTGCTGGCCTACTAGGCCGTGGAGTTATCTATCGGGGTAGTGGTGTACGAAGTTCCATAGGGTATATCTTAATCTTTAATGCATTAGTTATTGAGATTCAGATTTAATGCCCATCGTTTGCTTGCCACCAGTGTTGTTTCTCCAAAAATCCCCGGTGATGCTCAGGCCTCGGCAGCAACGCCGCTGGTGACGGAAGTGGAGAGGGTCGGTATTCGGCATTTTCTGGGTCTTCATCGGCTACCTTCGTTGTTGTATTCTCCAGAAGAACGACGTAATACGTTTGAAACCCTATGGGAATTGCTATTGTCACGTAAGCTCGAATGATCTTACTATGTAGCGTTTAATAGGTCCCGAGCGGGATGTAGCTCTGGTCAATAAATATCTATTCTCTCGGATAGATAGCGGGTTGGACTTTAGTTCTGATAAAATTCTACAAGCTATGAAGCAGGCTGGTTTGGAACCTAACACGGTTTGTCTCCACAATAATTACTTTACGGCTTTTAGCGAACGTTCGGCGCGTTCATTCATCAAAGTTGCGCCAAGGGAAATATGGAGGAGACGAGGTAGTGCATGCGTTGCTTGTTATATTTCTGTCAGCTTACATTTGCAGGCACTAAAGAATGCCAACCTGAAGCCTGACCTGTACATTTTCTCACAAGTACTATATGGTTACCTTAAAGCTGGGTAAGTTGGTTCTTTTGCTGGTGGTCAAACTGATGTAACTGAGAGCCCTGTCGTACGTATCAGTTAAATGAAATCAAATAAACTTCGCCCCTACACAATTTTAAGGCCGGAATATGAAACGGCATGGGAGTTTCTGAGATTTTAGTTGTTTGACGACAACTAATGAAACGAACGAGTGTGGTGGATGGTGGAATCCACTGATTTGCCCTGAAAATCTAGGATACCATGCGACATACTATAGTATGTACGCTGTGAATGCACCGTGGGGCTGTGGTTCCATGAAGGTAAGGGATCGCGGATGGAAAACAGAAAAAATCTTATGAGCCAAGCGTTATCATCATCAGAGACAGAAACATCAGAGTTGCCAGTGACGCTTCACTACCGTACAACCACAAGATTTATTTAAATATATTGATAGCTTCAGAGTAAAAAAAGAGAAAAAATGAGTGGGGGAGGGGGCCTAGTGCTGGTCCATCACAAGAATTTCGGGGTGCCTACACCTCCAAGTGCCCGATTAGGCAACCTGGAAAGAAACTGACAGCACGCCACAACGATACATCAGAGTTGCCAGTGACGCTTCACTACCGTACAACCACAAGATTTATTTAAATATATTGATAGCTTCAGAGTAAAAAAAGAGAAAAAATGAGTGGGGGAGGGGGCCTAGTGCTGGTCCATCACAAGAATTTCGGGGTGCCTACACCTCCAAGTGCCCGATTAGGCAACCTGGAAAGAAACTGACAGCACCAACGCCACAACGATCAGCCGCCATTTCTGGCACTGTTTGCAGTGAAGCGAGGGGGGCGGGACTCTGTTCTGGAAGACGTAATGAACCAACAACACCCAAGTCCTTCCTTATTCCTTTCACACACTTCTGCCAAATCGTCCGTTGTCTGCCTCGCAGTCTGCGTCATTCTGAATGAAGCCCGGAAAACGATACTCGTCTCGGTGGACACTTTCGGCATGCGCACAACATGACCGAGCCACTGCATTGGATGATGCTGGATGTTTTCTCGGGTTGGGGTGTCTGCAGCACATCCAAATACCCGTTTTCTAATCACTTCGTTACTCAGACGCTGACGCCATCCAAAACCAGCCACGTTTCTGGGGTGTCGGTGGTCAAAAACCTGAAGACGCCCCATATCATCTGTCCGCAGAGGCCATGTCGCGCACCCATACAACACAGTCCTTACTGTAACCTGATACGACCCTTAAGATCCAGTGAGATGACTTTTTGCCACACTAAGTGGGGCAAATTAGCAAACGTGATTCGAGACTTTGAGATTCTTGCACTGACTTCTTCAGACACACTTCCGTCAGAGCCAATATGACTACCGAGGCATGACAGTGGTCAGTCTATTTAACAGGTATTCTGCTTCGTGTTCGTCTTGAAAGATGAGACCTATGTTATCTGTGTACTCTAGATCGATAAGGCCCTCACCAGCAACGATTTTAACACCGGGGTTTTGAGGCATTCCAGCATTCGCCTCATTATTTCGTCGGCAACAAAGGTGAAGGAGATTGGAATGGTGGACACTTTATTGAACACCACTTTTTGTGGGGAAGCCTTTGGAGCATTTTCCATACACTGGTACCCAGAAACCAGAAGACAACGAATAATCTCCTGTGCCAGCAGCCTTGTTACAATGGGAGTCCAATTGATACCTCTGTGGTTAATATATTTACTGCGAGTGCTTTTTTTGAAAACAGCACTATTATGGACCCACCACAGTTATCTGGAACGGTCTCATTCCTCCAGATAAACTCAGAAAGATTAGACAGACACTGAGTATTTCATCGTCACTTTAAAATTCCGGCATGCTTCGCTTTGCTGGCCTACTAGGCCGTGGAGTTATCTATCGGGGTAGTGGTGTACGAAGTTCCATAGGGTATATCTTAATCTTTAATGCATTAGTTATTGAGATTCAGATTTAATGCCCATCGTTTGCTTGCCACCAGTGTTGTTTCTCCAAAAATCCCCGGTGATGCTCAGGCCTCGGCAGCAACGCCGCTGGTGACGGAAGTGGAGAGGGTCGGTATTCGGCATTTTCTGGGTCTTCATCGGCTACCTTCGTTGTTGTATTCTCCAGAAGAACGACGTAATACGTTTGAAACCCTATGGGAATTGCTATTGTCACGTAAGCTCGAATGATCTTACTATGTAGCGTTTAATAGGTCCCGAGCGGGATGTAGCTCTGGTCAATAAATATCTATTCTCTCGGATAGATAGCGGGTTGGACTTTAGTTCTGATAAAATTCTACAAGCTATGAAGCAGGCTGGTTTGGAACCTAACACGGTTTGTCTCCACAATAATTACTTTACGGCTTTTAGCGAACGTTCGGCGCGTTCATTCATCAAAGTTGCGCCAAGGGAAATATGGAGGAGACGAGGTAGTGCATGCGTTGCTTGTTATATTTCTGTCAGCTTACATTTGCAGGCACTAAAGAATGCCAACCTGAAGCCTGACCTGTACATTTTCTCACAAGTACTATATGGTTACCTTAAAGCTGGGTAAGTTGGTTCTTTTGCTGGTGGTCAAACTGATGTAACTGAGAGCCCTGTCGTACGTATCAGTTAAATGAAATCAAATAAACTTCGCCCCTGCACAATTTTAAGGCCGGAATATGAAACGGCATGGGAGTTTCTGAGATTTTAGTTGTTTGACGACAACTAATGAAACGAACGAGTGTGGTGGATGGTGGAATCCACTGATTTGCCCTGAAAATCTAGGATACCATGCGACATACTATAGTATGTACGCTGTGAATGCACCGTGGGGCTGTGGTTCCATGAAGGTAAGGGATCGCGGATGGAAAACAGAAAAAATCTTATGAGCCAAGCGTTATCATCATCAGAGACAGAAACATCAGAGTTGCCAGTGACGCTTCACTACCGTACAACCACAAGATTTATTTAAATATATTGATAGCTTCAGAGTAAAAAAAGAGAAAAAATGAGTGGGGGAGGGGGCCTAGTGCTGGTCCATCACAAGAATTTGGGGTGCCTACACCCTCCAAGTGCCCGATTAGGCAACCTGGAAAGAAACTGACAGCACCAACGCCACAACGATCAGCCGCCATTTCTGGCACTGTTTGCGTGAAGCGAGGGGGGCGGGACTCTGTTCTGGAAGACGTAATGAACCAACAACACCCAAGTCCTTCCTTATTCCTTTCACACACTTCTGCCAAATCGTCCGTTGTCTGCCTCGCAGTCTGCGTCATTCTGAATGAAGCCCGGAAAACGATACTCGTCTCGGTGGACACTTTCGGCATGCGCACAACATGACCGAGCCACTGCATTGGATGATGCTGGATGTTTTCTCGGGTTGGGGTGTCTGCAGCACATCCAAATACCCGTTTTCTAATCACTTCGTTACTCAGACGCTGACGCCATCCAAAACCAGCCACGTTTCTGGGGTGTCGGTGGTCAAAAACCTGAAGACGCCCCATATCATCTGTCCGCAGAGGCCATGTCGCGCACCCATACAACACAGTCCTTACTGTAACCTGATACGACCCTTAAGATCCAGTGAGATGACTTTTTGCCACACTAAGTGGGGCAAATTAGCAAACGTGATTCGAGACTTTGAGATTCTTGCACTGACTTCTTCAGACACACTTCCGTCAGAGCCAATATGACTACCGAGGCATGACAGTGGTCAGTCTATTTAACAGGTATTCTGCTTCGTGTTCGTCTTGAAAGATGAGACCTATGTTATCTGTGTACTCTAGATCGATAAGGCCCTCACCAGCAACGATTTTAACACCGGGGTTTTGAGGCATTCCAGCATTCGCCTCATTATTTCGTCGGCAACAAAGGTGAAGGAGATTGGAATGGTGGACACTTTATTGAACACCACTTTTTGTGGGGAAGCCTTTGGAGCATTTTCCATACACTGGTACCCAGAAACCAGAAGACAACGAATAATCTCCTGTGCCAGCAGCCTTGTTACAATGGGAGTCCAATTGATACCTCTGTGGTTAATATATTTACTGCGAGTGCTTTTTTTGAAAACAGCACTATTATGGACCCACCACAGTTATCTGGAACGGTCTCATTCCTCCAGATAAACTCAGAAAGATTAGACAGACACTGAGTATTTCATCGTCATCCTCGAACAGAGCGAATGGAAGTTCGTCAGGACCAGGGGATTCCATGTTCACAGTCCATCTTCCTGTTGAACGCTGACAGCAGGTGAATAGCTGAATTTGCAGTTCAAAGAACTGTGACCAGTGGTCCAAGCATTCTTCTTTGCTGGACATCGAAGACCCATTTTCGTCTCTTATAGTTTCGCTGACAAGTGGCTCCCAAAGATCAATCGAACGATCAAGTGGAACAACTTGTGGACGGTTCCAGATTTTTTTACACCTTTCTTTTCTTGAGTTTTTTTCCAAGCTCACCGGTTTGCACGGACACTCAGTTTCACCCGGCGTCGGACGATGCGTCTAATCAGGTTGTGATTGTGGCTAGTAGAAACCTGTCGCCGGGCCTTCAGCAATACCATGTTTCAGAGGTCCAAAGTTTGGATGAGGTTGACTGGGTAGTGCTGAAGGCAGAGATCTATGCTTTGTGTAACACTGATGGGTGCCTTCAGTGACTATTAATATCCGACATCGGACAATCCGAAAGGCGTTCAAGGACCCTTTCTGGATAGTTTTAATGGAATTCTGGGTTTACAATCGAGATTTTTACAACTTCCGTGAACTCGAACAGCAGAGTGAAGAGAAACAGCGCGCTAATGCATATTCGGAGTCCACACTGGCACTCCAGAAGGAGCCCAACCCTCGCTACTGGAAACTTACGGCGATGTGGTCTATTTGGATTCGGGATGGTGAGCGCCATGTTGTCAAGCGGTTTCCGCTGTTCTGGCAATGCGAAGCAACCGATTATGCTTGGCCGTACCCCTCCTCCACCACTTTCTCATCTTCACGCGACTGAAACTCTAGCAGCTGAAACCAACGTACCCTTGACACGGCTTTGTACCTGCTAAACCGGAGTGAACTAACAACAATGCGAACTGCGTTTACTTCTGTCGGTCTACAGGCCCTTTGTTAGTGGTTATGGAACATGGCGTTCCTCGTAAATTCTTGGCGATCGTCAAAGCGCTGTAGGCCAACTCCCATGGATGGTGTACGGTAGGCTCATACCTGAGTTCACTACCAGTGATATGGGGTAAGGCCGTCCTGTTTTCTCATTTAGGCCTCCCCATCGACATGATCATGGTGACTCAGTGCAAGCTTACGTCTGTGGTTTTGAAATACTCTCAGAGCGTTCGCTCATGGGTGTAGAGCATGTAGACCGCATAGCTCTTCTGGGGCTCTGAAGCCATGCCAAGGCATGCGGATTATTAATGTGAATAGTCCTGCTTCAACGTTTGGTATGCGCTCCTCACCTGCAAAGTGTAAAGTGCTGCTGCAAAACCTCAGGCTTGCGGATGAGCCAATTGAAGTAGCGAACAAATTTGCTCACCTGAGTAGTTGCATCGGTCTCGGTGATCGGGCCAAAGTAGATATTTTCATCTGAGTTTTGATGGCTAGAGCGGTTTCTAAAAACATCCTTAACTTGCGGTTATAAAGGTTGAGTTCACAATGCTGCAGTGAGCAGCATGCTGTTACATGGAGCTTGGGCAACCTGGCAGTGTCGCAGCCCTCGTGCTTCCTTCTGATGGCATGGCAGCTAGGCACCGAAAAGGTGCTACAGCTGAATGATTCATTATTATTATTATTATTATTATTATTTATTATTATTATTATTATTATTATTATATGGAGCTGCTGCGCAGGGAGGACGTTAGGGAAACCGGTGTTGATCACCGAGCATTTACCGGGCCTGGCGGGAGCACCAAATCAGTATTGCTGAAGTGCGGAGGAACTGACTCGTCCACGATAAATGAACTTATCACGTATTATAGTTTGTTTAGGCTTGGTCACGTGTACCAGTAGACAGAGTTCTTGGGAAAGCCCTCTTGGAAAAACCAAGCTTGGGTGGAAACGAGTCAGAGGAACAAAACCGCGGCAACCATAACCACTATACATTGTCACCACATTTTTCAAGGCCCAAGCTGACAGTTGATGAGCAGCAACCTCAGCTTCCTTCACAGAGGATAAGGAGAATAGGGGAGTGAGAACCACATGTTGCAGGTTCACTGACTTTTAATGGTTCTGTTTGTTTGATACAACAGAAAGTGATCTATGCAGTGAAGGCGGTGCAAGACCGTCAATGGCTGTGTGACAACTATATTTACCAGGGTCTTTAACCGTCGGTTTGTCTCGTTCAGGGTTTCTGATTCTTCGCTGCCGCCCCCCTGATACAGGACTGCACGAAGTGGACTCTATGAAGCAAAGCATACGACGCACAGTGTAATTTGTGGAGTATGACCAGCTCATCTATCGTTCGAGAGTAACGCTTACCGGAAGCCACTTGACTTACCCCAGTACTACTTACTTGATGTTTCACCGGACCCACGCAACGTTTCTGGGGCACCGTTACTCAGATTGTCTTCGAAGATTCTCTGCACGCAGCCGCTCTGTCCATGATCAATAAAATAGGACAAGTCTGACCGCGGCACAAGTGCCGGAGGTTCGCGAACGTTGCTCTTACCTTCTCAATTCAGGAAGTTATTTCATCTTTTACCAGTCTGCAGTTGACCAGTCAGACGAACTTATCTCCCGCATCCATCGGCTGTCCTAAAAGTATGAGGTCTGGGTGTCAACCCAGCAATCATCATTGCAAGCGCACAACACTAGTTTTCCACTTTCGTACGATTTCATCCAATCCTGCAGTAAAACATCACAATTTACATGTGCTAAACTTATACCAAACTGTACAGCAAAATTATAAGCGCTGTCTAAAGTAGTTTGCATTTCTAAAAGGTATGATCGCAAGCTCAATGTTGTCGGCTTCTCGATGTCCGTGAGTGAACGTCTCGGGAGTATTTCGATCCCCGATAGTGGAGGCAGCTAATGAAAACTCGGTTAGCAGTCAGCCAGTAAGTTAGCTTATAGGAAACAGCTTTGTGTGGAGGTACGTTGGTTTCCACTGTTACAGTTTTGGTCGCAGGAAGATGGAACACGGTGGGGGGAGAGGTACAGCCAAGCATAGTCGTTGGTTTGCATTGTATGATATTGTCGGACGGGACAGAAAGGGCGATAGGGTGCACGGTTACCACTGGCTGTGTGACGTGTTCTCCAGTGTTATTAACTATTGGTGATTCGACCCGGGTTCCTCATGCAGGGAAGCGGCAGTTGTCAACTCGATTGAGTTGCATAGTGTTTCCCTACTTCGTTGCTAGGTCTTAGACTTTACACCTTTCGATCACCACCCAGCACAGGGCCGCGCAAGAGAGCTCTGTGAGGTAGGCGGTCCTCTGATATTGGAAGTACACATCTTAACTACGTTACTTACGAAACTTCGGTAGTTCATCCATTGCGGGCTGTCCTTTTCCCTAGAGTACCTCAGCATTACGCATCCGATGCTCCTACCGGTTCCTACAAATAAGTTGGAGACACCGA